CTTTCCCCATAATAACCTAGATAATCAGAATTTCTTCCTTAATGCCAAATTACAGTTCCTTAGGTTTCACTGTAACTCTTATTCTTGTTCTTCTTTTTCTTTTCTTTTTTTTTTTTTTTTTTTGGTGGTACCAGAGATTGAACCCAGGATCTTAAGCATGATAGGCAAGTACTCTACCACCGAGCTACATGCCCACCCACTGTGCCCTCTTTAATGGTATAGAATAAAAAATAAGAGCGGTTTCTTTGGGAAATGCTTCAGACTTGAAGGTCAATTTGAAGTCCTCTTCTCAATCACTAGTTTCTCCCTTCTTCTTCCCATTTGTATCCAAGCTTAATAAACCTTTCATGTCCTCCGCATTCCACAGAAAATCTCTCTGTGGAAAGAGGACCCAGTCTCAGGGGTGACTTATCACCCTGTAAAGGAAGGTGATGTCCTAATGTGACTGAAATGACGACGCCAACCGCAGCTGTTTCTTCTGAAACACTGAAAACTTTCGGCAGGACTTAGAACACCCGTTAAAGCTACCCTGGCTCCCCAGCTGAGAAATTTCAGGATGCTGTCTCTTGGGGTTTTCATGTCAAATGTGCAAAATAGCTCAGATTTACCCGTTGTCCCTCTTCATTTCCAAACCCTTTATCCAGGGTGGCAGTGTCCCTTAGATCGCTATTACTACTTTATACATCTCTCTCAATTTCCCTTCTCCCTCCACACAAAAGTGCTTCGCCCCAGTGCTTCTACTAGAATATGTGGGCCGCGTGCTACCTGAAAGCTGCCAATGGTTCTCTCGAGCTTCTAAGAGTTGTCAGAACAATCCCACAGAGGAAGCTGCATGTCTGTCCTCAGCTGCTCTGCATTCTACTTCACACCCCTCATCCATCGGGGGAAAGTCTTCTCATTTCTGAGGGGTTATTCTCCTGCCTCTAGGTCTTTGTCCAAGTTTCCCAACCGATAGGAAATGACCTGACTTGTCTGCACACGATCCAATCCCTCCCTCTCTTCAAATAGCATCATAAAGTTATTTTSTCCAGTAAGAGTTCAAGACTGGTTCATTTGTATCCTAGAAACCCCCAATGTTCTCTCTTAACCTCCRCCCCCTCCCACTCAGAGCACCACTCAGTTCTGCAGTGAACTGTCTTCTCTGCCCTSTTAGGCCATAACCCTCCCTGACCAAGTTGGCTCTTCTGTAACATACATTCCCAAGGGCCTGGTACAGTGACCTACTCAGTGAATACTCATTACGAATTTGCAAACAAATTAACCATATGTAAAATATACATGCCCAGGAGCTGTTGGAGGTATTGCTCAGTGTGTTCTTAAGGGCCTTAGGTTCAATCCCTAGCATTAAAAAAAAAAAAAAAAAAAGAGGAGGATGAGGAAGAGGAGAAGGAAGAACATACATGGCTGATTCTACCTGGGGCTTACTGGGAAAGAGAGGGAAAAAACATACACAATAACTTTGTTCTACAATTCATTTACGGAACTGGGGCAGGTGATTTAACAACAGATTACGAGATAAAACTGAGAGAGAAGAGTTCTTGCTTTCTCTCCCAGGAACCAGTTGTGACATCGATGCTTGTAAGTTTTCCAAAATAGCCATCTGTTGTTGGGCGAGCTGGGTCTGGAGTTGGAGGTTGGCGTACATACATTCCAGGAGTCCTAGACATTCTTTGGGCTTGTGATGAACTCCTGAAGGAAGAGCCAGGAAGGAGAATAAAAGGAAAAACCAGAAGATTTTGTAATTGTACTAAGGTTGGAATGACTCCAACAAGATGCTCTCTCTAATCTTTCCAGGCACAACCCTTGGCTCAGCTATCACCTTCTCAGTGTGACTTACCTGGTGACATTCTAATTTGCTTTCAAATTAAATTTGAAATTTAAAACTAACTTAAAATAGAACATAACTTGAACTCATCCCTCTCTCCGTTATTTTCTTTTTCCCAAATTATTTATGGACACGTGGCATATTTTGTGATTATTTCTTTATTTTTGTCTAAGTCCCCCTTCTAGAATGTAAACTTTGGGAAGGCAACCATTTTTGTCTGACTCATTCACTGGTGAATCCCTAGCAACTAGCAGAAGTGTTCAACAAACATTTGATGAGCTGGGGAGACCTCAGCCTCCCCTTTGCGGCATGGTGCCATTAGTAGTGACCTGAAGCTCTTTCTGTTGTCTAACTTCAATTGCTCTTGGTACATCAATTTATTTTTCAAACACACAGGCAGCTCTTAGTCAACCTTAGTAACTGTACTACTGTGGTTTGTGTGTTTATTGTTCTTGCCTTCTTTGTTAGACTCAGAGGTCCCCAAAACAGGGGCTATGACTGTCTACTACTGGGTTCCCAATAGGTATTTCAAATGTCCACTGATTTCCCAAGGAAAGATGAATAACAGAAATTCAATGAAACACAGGTTGAGATAATATTTATTATTTCTTTCCATGGCCACTTTTTAATAAAAAAGAATAGCAAGCAGTAAGATTTTCATTCCATTCCTGCCTATAGTGTAGCAAAGGTGCTGAGCAAGGAAGGCAACAATACCACTTGGTAGAACCGGGGAGAAAATGAGATCAATTTAACTGAATAATCCATAAGTTACAGTGAAAGTAAAAACAATTAACAACAAAAAACCTACAAGTGTTTTGACACTGAGTTGGCACCAGATCAACAGAAGGAAGCTCAGCCGCCTCCCYGCACAGCGCCTGCAATGCGGGGTCTACTGGGAAACCTCCCCCGAGCTCTTACCTGAGGGCAGCTTTGTCGTCTGGATGTTTAAGAAAGTGGCTGGTGGGGAACTTGCTTGAAGATTAATAAAACTGGGGGACGGTTTTGCTCGACAAAGAGGCATAGCATTACCTTCCTCTTTTGCTGGAACAAAATCAGAGGTAACTAAATCAAAGCTCATTCTAACAGGGGGTGGGCTTTTTAYGAAATCCCTGCACCTTGTCTGTGAGGCAGGTGCCAGGCCCTGCCCTGACTACCTGACACACTGGAAAAAGAGAGAGTGACGAAATCCTAGTGGGATCAAGGAAAACCAAGCAGGGGTGGGACAAGCTAAAATCGAATGTGCTTACAGTGTGAAGTTTTTGTTGGTAGGCATCACACACTTACCACCGTACAGACGATAGAGCTTGCACATGAGGATTAAGATATGGTTTCTTAGGCGCTTATTCTCAGTATAGGAAGACAAATCAGAAGCAGGTGAAACAGTGATATAATAACATGAGAACAGAAACAATGAGCCTGATGCCAGATGTGGTGGTGCACGCCTGTAATCCCAGTGGCTCAGGAGGCTCAGACAAGAGGATCTCGAGTTCAAAGCCAGTCTCAGCAACTTATCAAAGGCCTAAGCAACTCAGTGAGACCCTGTTTCTAAATAAAATGCAAAAAGGGCTGGGGTTKTGGTTCAGTGGTTAAGCACCCAGGGGTTCAATCTCTGGTACCAAAAAAAAAAAAAATCAGCCTGATAGTCTGAGACGAACAGAAGGCCTTTTACCTGTTATATTAAGTACATGATTAAATGTAAAAACAAGTGTTTTCAAAAAGGGGAAAAGATTAATATGAGTACAATAATCAAAGAAAGCTCCATGCAGGTACAGGTCATTTACTGGACCTTGAAAACCTGGGAAACTTCCTGAGCAGAAGAGATATTTCAAGTGGGTGATAAAACAGAATAGTGTGAACAAGCAAGCAAGGAAGAATACGGCTGGAATGGTGAGTCGCCCTGGGAGGCGGGCCAGGGTCGGAGCGAGAAGACAGGGTGGGCCACGGAGGCCTCTTTACAYTAGGCTTTCTCCTGAGTATAATGGGAAGCCACTTAGCCTTTTAGGATTAGAAAACAGGATTAAAATATTTTGATGAATCTGTAGATATTAAACACAATGAGTTGGACATGAAAAAAAAATTTTATAATTTTTTAAATCTTTTCTTTTTAGTTGTACTTGGGACACAATACCTCTATTTTATTTATTTATTTTGAACCCAGGACCTTATATGTGCTAGGCAAGCATTCTACCACTGAGTCACAACCCCAGCCCTGGAAAAGATTCTTAAATGGATAAACAAATTATCTTTGGCAAAAACASTTCAGTTAGGAAGAAAAACTGATTTGTAGGACATGAGGAGCCCTATCAAAGACGTCTGTTATTTCTGTCTACTGAGCAGCCCATCCTCTGGGAACTGATTCTTCCCCCAGTTTCCAGGCCATACTGGTGAGACTTCCATCAACCCCCTTTTCCCATCAAGGAGGGACATGTGACCCAATACCAGTCAATCATGGTATCCCATTCCCCTTGGTAACTGTCATTGATCCAAGATGGTAAGCATGTGAGGCAGGCTGGGCCAGAGTCATTTGCTGAGATCAACATATGGATTCTTTGTCAAAGAAACTTTCTTGATCTGCTATTCTGAGAAGACATAAAGTTCAGCCCATGGAAACTACTGAATTTGGCCGGCATACCATGACAAGTGGATACAAGCAAGATCAGAGACAAGAGAGGACAGAGCCACATGGACAGACAGCCACCAATGGGCACGGAATTCCCAGGGCCTGTCCTGACACCTTGTTTTACACCTCTCCTTCATCTTCTGTGAGCTACCCAGTGTCCTCAAGTGTGTAAGACACAAACTTACCTTTTTCACTCAAGGCAGTTTGAGTAGGAGGTCTGTCCTATTAATACCATCACATTTGGGATACACTGAATTCTACAAACGCCTAGAAAAGCAATAAATGGCACTGAGTTTGTGTGAAGGGTCAAACTGCCAGGCCAGCCACAAGAAGGGGACGAAGGAGCTACTAAAACAGACTAGCTCTCCAAGCACAACAGTAACAAGAGGAAACAAGACGAGAAAACTGGACCTTTGAGTAGCTCCTCAGGARTGTGGAAAATGAAGAGAAGGTGGCAAAGTAGACAGAAGGACAATAAGTGGAAAGGCAGAATAGCTGGGATCAGGAAGGAAAGAAGAGTATGAATAGTGAGGAGTCAACAGATCACTGTCCTCAAGAAAGCCCAACTGGGGGYGGGGGCATAGCTCAGTTGGTAGTGTGCTTGCCTTGCATGCCCAAGGCCCTGGGTTCGATCCCCAGCACCAGAAAACAGACAGACAAAGAAAGACCAACTGACATCAAGAAAGGAAAGGGTTGGGGTGTTGTTCAGTGGTAGAGCACTCACCTAGCATGCTCACAGTCCTGGGTTCTATAACCAGTCCCCCAAAATCAAATTGATTTATTCACACCTACATATAAGAAATAACTAACTGCTTCCTAAAGACCCCACAGTAGATGGAACAGTTTGTGGCCATTACTTTCCTGGAGCTGACAGTCTTGCAGTGGGGGCAGAGTGTGACAAGTAGATTGTATGAAGGAAGAAGTCTTATTCACTGCATCTTTAAACATGGGTGCCACATTGAGATGCTTTCTGTCTAGAGGGTCACTGAACCTGACCCTAAGAAAATGGCAATCTGCTACATTCCCTGTTAGTTATTCTTGGGGTGGGAAATTTTTTTTCCCAAAAAATGGGTTTTCTAAGCTTTACTGCAGGTCCTCCATCTTCCCTTCCCCCTGCTCCAGTCATGTCATGTGATGGCTCATGCAGTGGTAAAAAGACAGACGCTCAAACTCAGATCTCAAGATTTTTCTCACCATTTGAAAAATGTGTTAGTTTCCATGCACATGCATTCGCAATCATATAAACCATTCGTGGGCACACAGGGACGTGTTTCCCACAGGATTGTAAGGCTTGAAGAATATATTTTACCCACAATATATACTGAAAGAAACATTTCTTTTTTGGGGGGAGGGGGTACCTGGGATTGAACCCAGGGACACTTAACAACTGAGCCACATCCACAGCCTTTTCTTTCTTTCTTTCTTTCTTTTTTTTTTTTTTTTGTATTTTACTTAGAGACAGGGTCTCACTGCGTTGCTATGGCAGGCAAGCTACGTTGCTGAAGCTGGTTTTTAACTCGTCATCCTCCTGCCTCAGCTTCCTGAGCTCCTGGGCAGGCATCATCGCACCTGGCTAAGAACCACATTTCTTTTCTTCTTCTTCTTTTTTTTTTTTTTTTTTTTTTTTTTTTTTTTTTTGTACCAGGGATTGAACTCAGGGGCACTGGACCACTAAGCCACATCCCCAGCCCTATTTTGAATTTTATTTATTTAGAGTCAGGGTCTCACTGAGTTGCTTAGCACCTTGCTTTTGCCGAGGCTGGCTTTGAACTCATGATCCTCCTGCCTCAGCCTCCTCAGCCTCCTGAGCTGCTGGGATTATAAGGTGCGCACCACCACACCAGGCTAAGAAACATATTTCTGACTAGAGAATACATAATAGATTGGGGAGCAACAAAAGGAGGTAGATCAGAGAAAAAAATAGTAAAAGGTGCTTTACATACAATGCATTCTCTTATACAGTTTTTACAACGATCCTCTTAAGTATGCAGCAGTGTCAACATATTATTTGAACTTAAGTTTCTTGGGATTCCACAATTAGCATTTGGCAATGCTAGAATTAAATCTGAGCTTGTAGACTTCAAAACCATGTTTTTTCCACTGCTCTCTACGTTCTGTGAAGAGATAGTTAATTTATGTCCAAGCCATGGCATAATAGATCTCCCAGATAAAATAATCTATTCCACCTACAGTTAAGTGGATAGGCTCTGCAGTCAGACAGCCCTAACCACCTTCCTGCCCACCAGCAGGACTGTCCCACTCAAACTGAGTTTCCATTCACTCTAGTTAACATTAAGTCTTCTGAGATCCCTGTACACAGTCTTGTTCTAAATATTAAGAGGAGCTACATAGGATAAATTTATTCAATAAATAATCATTAAGCATCTACTTTTTTTTTTTTTTTTGGTGGTGCTGGGGATTGAACCCAGGGTCTTGTGCATGCAAGGCAAGCGCTCTACAGAGTTATGTCCCCCAGCCCTGAGTAGCTATTCTAACAGATCTAGTTCTAGGCACCAGGCACAGAAATGTTCCCTTTAGTAGGGAATGCAGAAAACACAAATACTTTCCAATTAACCAAGTAACAAAACAACAGCAACTAGAATCATTTCCCCAAATGCTAAGCAGTTAGGGAGGTCTGGCTTGTAAGGGAAGGAAAGCAGGACCTCGACCCACACACCTTTTCCGTTAGTAGGATAACCAGTGCGCTTCTCCACCTGAACACCAATAGGGTAAGAATCAAGGCATCACATGATCAAACAACCCTTGCTGTTATTTTTTATCAATGAYAATTTCATAAGTTCTCTCCAGCAGATCTCAAGCTGTGTGTATTCTGCTTCATGGCTAATTGTAAGTGACCACTGCTCATTCTTTTCACGTTCCCTTCATCSGTTTGCAAAAGTTATTCCTATTGTTATTCTCCCCCACACACACACTTTTTTTTTTTTCCTGGACGAAACAAGACCAATTCCAAGCCTTAAGAGCCTTCTTCTAACGGGCGTTTTATTCTTCATGTTCTACATGCTCAATTTCTGCACTATGAGTCTTTTTCTTATCTAGGATGGCAACTTAAAAACTCTGGCTCCGACCATGTCCAACGGACTTGGGGCTGAACGAGGAGAGCGACCGGGGACAGACGGGAGGGMGCAGACGCCGGAGCACTGGCGGGAACACTGGAGAAGAGACCTAGACAGGACAACTCGGGGGAAGCCAAGCCGTCACTCTCCGAAACCGCTCTCAGCCTCGGTAGAAAGCATTCGCCTAAGAAGGGAAAGATCCACTCACAGGGAGTCCAGCAGTTCTACACCCTCCCAGCCCTGCCCCACAGGACTACAACTCCCACTGCACCCTTCGTCAGACCAGGCGCCAAAGCCCCGCCCTCTACTCCCCCGTTACCGAGGCTGGGACAAAAGAATGAAAACTACTATCACAGATTTCTTGGCCTTCAGGGTCCGATAGATGCGGAGGGACAACACACACTGTTTCGTGACCTCACCTGCGGTATTAATCGAAAGCCTCAAACCCAGCACCCACCCCTGTAGTTGATACGCATGCGCATCAGCGTACGGCCAACTGCCCGAACCTCGGCGCCGGCGCTGGAGCTAAAGGTCGCGCCGCACGCGGCCGGGAGCGGCCACCCTATTGCGCAAGCGCCTGAGCTCTCCCGTTTCCATCATCGCGCTCTCTCTATCTACCTTGCTCTGCCGTTTTTTTGCGTAGGGCGGGGTTAATACTGCCGATTGGCCCGTTTTCGTGCCTGTCAATCAGGCGGCTGCGGTGATTGGCGAACGACTTAGAAGCCAGCGGGTTTAGGTGTCAGCACCGAAGAGGCAGCATTTTCTGGGCTTCTCTCTGCTTCTCTCTCTCCAGAAGGTTCTGCCGGTTCTTCCAGCTCTGGGTACCTAGCTCTGCATCGCGCCGCCATGATGGGCCACCGTCCTGTGCTCGTGCTCAGTGAGTTCTGGGGAAGCTGGGGAAGGGACCCCCCCCTCTTTGTACGCCTCTCCCCACGCTTCTTAGTGTTGCCCCAGCTTCGTCCCGCCATGACCTGACCAGAGGCTTCCAGTCATCGTCTCCTTTTGGGAGCTCCTTTACTCGCATTCCTTCGTCCTCCCTTAACAAACGCAGACCGACTCGTCCCTCGCCGAGTCCCGTGTATTTACACGTGCTTGTCTTGGGAAGCCCTTGTAGACCCCCCATCGAGCATCAGCCGCCACCTTCCTCCACGCCCCTGCGCCCTTACCAACTTGACTTCCGGTGTCGAGTTGAATGAATAATGGTCTTCCAAATGAGGCCTAGCTCTATATTCTTGGCCCGTGGCTTTAGTCGCGATGTGACCTCGGGCAAATTAAGTTTTCCCATCTGCGTTGAGATTGGTAGTGTTTCTTCATAGAGTTGCAAGTCCAGTCGATAAACTGCTTAATAGAGAGCCTGGCACATAGCGGTGGCATCCTTGGTTTCTGCGCTTATCATGAGTACCAGTCGTTCAGCAGCCCTATTCCTGGAGGAACCGTGCTTCCCTTCTTGGACTTAGATGTAATCTTTGCCACTARACAGTCGAGTTTTCCCAAATTCTCCAGTATTTTTTCTTTTCCCTTTGGAAATATCCCTTATTTCTTTCTAAGAAATTAGCATTGTCTACATTGCCTTCCCTCAGTATGTTTCCCTTCTGAGTGTAACTTCTGGGCCTAGGATGCCCGACCAGCCATTTCCCCTGTGTGTTTCTTCTATGTATGTCCAATGATGATGAGAGTTTTTGTTCGTTTTACGTGTACCTGGGGAAAAACTCCTTCCTTCTTCTGGATTGTAGATCCATATAAGTTTTTGGTTACTTCTACCTGAGATAGAAAATGTAAACCCTGAGGGTTATGATAGGTGTTTAGGTTTGATGGGACTGGAATGAAAGGTTTACAGAATTAAATTGTAGAAGAACGTATAATAGGAGCCTGGAGGGAAATCATTATTATGTTTGTGTGGTTATAGTCACTGGCTTGTCTCCACCTGAGTGGGCCCTGGGATGAGTGGTGCATTTGTAAAGCTCTTTTCCTGTCTGCATTAATCTTTGGCATTAAAGGCTGTACCTGACTCTATTCCCTATTAAACTATGTAACCAGATCTTAACCAGGGTAAATGGGTTCGTGAGGTATTCTTATTTCATCCAAGTATGGGGTGGCTTTGTATAATTTATCTTATAAACTGGGACACTTTGGAAGAGTGTGCATTCTCATTCCACAGCATGCAGTGGGGTTCTGTCAGTAATTAGGCCTGGACTGTTAAGAGTATTCTTCTGTTATTCAAGCAGGAAAATAACCCCTAAATTCTTCTCCTCTTTACAGAGAGCTCTGATTTTCGTAAGATCACTAACCCTTTGAGAATGTGATATTGGCTTTGGATCTTCTTCTGGGGCAGGTCTGGGGTGGGGCATCTTTCATTTTCTCACATAATTTTGGGGAGTTCATTATCTCACTGAGGCCCATTCATGGATCTCAGATTATGAATCCTACTGTAAATGTGTGAATGGTTAAAGGGAAAGTGTTGTCCAAGATTTTGGGAATGGCGCATTAAGGGTTATTCCTTAGTGYTCTAGGGATTGAGATAAATGTATAGGTGTGTGTAGGGTGCACATCTATAATCTCAGCTGCTCAGAAGACTGTGGCAGAAGGATTGCAAGTTTGAGGCCAGCCTCTGTAACTGAACAAGACCCTGTCTCAAAATTAAAAAAAAAAAAAATAGAGTTGGGGATGTAGCTCAGTGGTAGAGGAGTTGCCCCTTGGTTCAATCTCCAGTACCCCTTGACCTACACACAAAGTAAATAGCTGCAAGTACATGTGTTTATTAGGTTTTTGAAATGTAATTGACATCTACACATATTTAAAGTATATCATTTGATAAGTTTTAATCTATGTATATACTGCAAAACCAATTCCCCCTCCCCCCAAAGATTGGAGAATAAATAGCTTGTGTACAGTTGGGGCAATCCTAGGCTGTTGACTATTGTTTTTTATCTATTTTAGGCCAGAATATAAAGCGTGAATCTGGAAGAAAAGTTCAATCTGGAAACATCAATGCTGCTAAGGTAGCATATCCCCCCCCCCCCCCCCACTCTCCAGTATTTCTGTGTTTCTTCTTAGCAATAAGGTTTCTTATATCTAGACTTTAAAATGTGCAATTAGGCAGAGAAAAAGTTGACTTCCCTTTTTTCAGGACATTGCCCTGATGGTAGTACCAGTGAGGAATTATATATTCCCTTACAATTTAAGTCTAATAATAAGGCCTAATAATCTTCTTATATTAACCTGTGTATAATTGTATGCTGTATAAATTTTATAGCATTCTACTTGTGTTTGTCTCCCATGCTAGACAGCGCTACTTGAAGGGAAGGACTGTATTGATTCTCTTTTGTATTCCTAGTGCCCATCATAGATCCTCCATAGAGGCTGAATAATGCATTTGAATGGAATAATGAAGTGACCTGAGATTTGACTTATGGTGGTGTGTAGGCCATTGTTATGGAGAGAAATACTGAGATTTGGACTGCTGGAAAACTATAATAAAGTTCTGGGAGGCATATTTCTCCTTTTTTCTTGTGAAGTATCTGAAATAATTGTCAATTCTACTTTAGTGGTATCATTTTTAAAACAGTGGCTCTCCTGGTTGTTCTCCAACTTATTCATACTGTCCTCTGATTTGTGCTTACATGTCTTATATTTCCTTTTCATTAGACTATTGCAGATATCATCCGAACATGTTTGGGACCCAAGTCCATGATGAAGGTAATCTTATCTTTTATTGAAACTCATAAACTACAGAGTATATAGATTTTCTGTTATTTAGGACACTTACTTCGCTTTTGTCTTAGATGCTTTTGGACCCAATGGGAGGCATCGTGATGACCAACGATGGCAATGCCATTCTTCGAGAGGTGTGGTTTTTTCTCTTCTTTTTCATTTGCTTCCTCACAGTTTTATAAATGCAAAGAATCCAGGAGCTAGGGGTGTAACTCGGGGGGAGGAGGGGCTGGAGACATGGCTCAGTGGTTAAGCACCCCTGGGTTCAATCTCTGGTACCAAAACATAATAAAATAAGGCTAAAAGTTTGAAATTAGAGTATCAGCAAGGCATTATTCCTGAAAGGCCTAGGGGAGAATTCTTTGTCTTTTCTAGCCAGAGTGATTGCCTAGCAATCACAAAATCCTGGGTTCAGTCCTCAGTACTGGGAGAATAAAAACAGAGGCTTTATTTCCAAGTCATATTCACAGGACACAGTTCACACACAATAGAACTTGCAATATGTAACTATATGGTACCATGCTATCCTTAAGAAGCTGTAGTAATGAGTTCTTTTTTTTTTAATATTTATTTTTTCGTTTTAGGTGAACACAATAWCTCCATTTTATTTTTATGTGGTACTGAGAATCCAGCCCAGTACCTCTCGCATGCTAGGCAGTCGCACTGCCACTTGAGCCGCATTCTCAGCCCAATAGTTGAGTTCTTATGATGCATTTTTTCCTCAAAAGCAAAGGATGTGGAAAGGTGGTTTGGGAGGACATTTTAATCTTCAGGATATGGTAAAACAATAAAGGGAAAGGGAATATATATGTGAAGCAAGAAACTTAGGAGTTAGGACCAAGCATACTGTTAGTTAAGGAGTGATCTACATTTTTAATTAAATTTTTTAGATTCAAGTCCAACATCCAGCAGCCAAGTCCATGATTGAAATTAGCAGGACCCAGGATGAAGAGGTTGGAGATGGAACCACATCCGTAATTATTCTTGGTAAGAAAATGGAAAAGAAAAATTAGAAAAAAATGTCTGTGTCTCATTTTAAGAAGAAAATTTTGGTGTTGGAGGTGTAGCTCAGTGGTAGAATCATGAAATCACCCCCCCAAAAAGCATAGCTTTTAATATACTACATAAAGGATACTGTTACGGTATGAAAACTGTTCAGCCTCTTCCAAGAATGGTATTGGGTGGCTCAAATTTTTTGTCATTTTGAACATGTCAATAAGTAACCATGAAAGTGCCATGAATATTGATTTTGAAGTTTCAAGTACATTTTAGCAAATGGTACAACATGGAATCATAAGAAATATTTTRGAAGAGCTTAAACAATTATCTCAATTCTAGAGGCTGTGAAGTCTAAAGTGAAGGACAGATAGAAAATCTTGAAAATAGTGAGCCTTGGTTTATAAATTGAAAATTATGTTTATTGTTATATTTGTCTGGGTTTTGTTCTGTTTGGATTAGGTATTGAACCCAGGGCCCTTTACTATTGAGCTGCAGCCTCAGTCTTTTTTTTCAACCTCAGTCTTTCAGAGGGCTGAGACAAGCTCTCACTTAAGTTTCTGAGGCTCGCCTCAAATTTGCAGTCCTGCCTCAGCCTCCCAAGACATTGGGATTACAAGCGTGTGACATCACATCTAGCTTAATCTTTCCACTTGTTAGGATAATTTTCAGAAACGACCTATTGCTTTTATTGTATAAATTTCAAATTGATGGTGGGATTTCTAAAATAGAAACATTCGTTTTTTWAAATATTTCAGTAATGATTTTAGAAGTGAAGAAGACTATTTTGTTGCTTGCTTTTATTTTGTTGTTCAGGCTGGGGCTTGTTTATTTTTGCAGTGCGGGGGATCAAACCCAGGGCCTTRCACATGGAAAGMGCACACACTACCACTGAACCCTTATCCCTGGAGATAACTCCAACTCTTCTTCATTTAACAGGATATTTTCTAAGTTCTCTTTACTCTGGCATCTTATGAAGTATCTATAATTTTTTTAGAAAAGTTTTAGATGGGGGCCTGGTGTTGTGGCTTAGTGGTAGAGCTCTCGCCTAGCATGGGCAAGGCCCTGGGTTCAATCCTCAGCACCACATAAAAATAAATAAATAAATAAAATAGGAGTATTTTGATGGGAGGCTGGGGAT